GTGTGTGTGTGTGTGTGTGTGTGTGTGCGTGTGTGTGTGTGTGTGTGTGTGTGACCTATAGGAGCTGGATGCAGATTGTGAGCCTGCAGGGCTGGTCCATCCTCTGCATGGACAGACTGTAGCAGCCTCTCTGACATGAAGGAGTGTGCATCACCCATCACCTTTCTAGACTAAGATCATCTGATGCACAGCAATGATAGAGCCGTAGGCGCTTTGCTCAAACCTCAAAAAGTATCGCGGTTACATCAAAGTAGTGAGAGATCTGAACGCAGCATCATGAGAACTGACACTCAGTATGTGATGTGATACTCTCATGCCATCAATCTGTACATTAATATTTGTAAAATTGACTCAATTCTAGTCTTTGTGTATGCTTTGTTTCAACCCTCATAAACTGAATTGACTCAAAAAGTTGACCACGTACACAGTAAATACAAACAATGATTACGATTATTAGAATCTGCACATTCTTCTCATGCTTGGTGGGTTTTCTCTGGTTTCCCCCCACAGAACAGAAACATGAAGTTAGATTGTCCTCAGGCCCAGATCTGCCTTGTAAAAGAGATCACAGTGGGATTTGCCTGGTTAAACTAAGGTTAATAAATAAATAAAAATTCAAACATGTCCTTCTCCATCCCAAAATCAATCCAATCACCTGAACTGGGCTGGATTTAATTAGCTGCAATGGGACAAAAACTGAATTATACTGAAGAAAATGATTGTTCCAGGTTTAGACACGTGTGTTTTAATCAGAGGTCCATAAAGTACTTGAAAAATGTAAAAGTAAAATTGCATAAAAAGAAAAGGACTTTGGTAAAAATAAATTACACTGATGAGAAAACTTGTAAAAGTCATGAAACTGTTCACAAAAATTGGGTAAGCACTTTTACACACTCTAAGTAACAAAGTGTTGAATTTACTGAACCAAACTGGTTCCACTAAGCCAGGTTCAGTAAACTGAACAATATATGTATTTTAAATAATATTTTTTTCTCTGCTCAATTTACTCGACTAGGCTTAGTGGATCCAGCTGACATGACTTTAGTTGAGTAAATTCAACACTTCATGTTTTAGAGCAGAAACATCTTTCATGATGAGTTTGAACAGATTTAATTTGTAACAAGTAACCAGGTGTTATATTTAAAAGGGATCCACTATTAGTTGTAACATTAGACTTTATCTGATAAACATTTATTTTAACTGTAACATAAAGAC